CATATTTTTGAAAATGAATAATCGCGGCGAGTTTTCGCTAAATAAAAATACCGATATCGAAGGCATGCCACTAAAAACGCTGTACGACGGATGCACTTTTGCCCCTGAATGAGATATCAGAGTTGATACTGACGCTGTAAATCAAGCAGACAAATCCGTCGACGAATACGTCGCGCGTTGACTGACACATTTTTTTCCTAATATTTAATTTTACTTGTCGACTTGTTGAAGCTGCGTTCGCATCCGTAGTGCATTTTTTTTTTTTATTACGACTCGTACGTGACAATCTGTCCCTTTATTTGCGCCGCGTTCACGCGCACAACACGGCACGTGTCGGATTATCGCGGAAGAGAAAATATACGGGAATGGACGACAAAATGTCCTGCGCGAACGACAAAAATCGATAAGCGACAGAACATAGTTAAATCCTTTTGCAAAACGCTGTACCGTCACCGAATTACCGAATAGAAGCCAGACGCCGATTAAGTACCAAAAAATGAAAGCTCGAGAGAGGATTGCGAAATTATGAAAATCTTACGAAAGAGGATTGCGTATTTCCAAAGTGTTAATAAATCTATTCGCCTTAAACAGCTTAATCCAATATAGATATTTCTACCAGTATAAATTAACTTCAATCTCGATTTAATCTTTATTTAATCTTTATTTTTTTTTAATTCTTAGAATAAAAAAAGATAAAAGTAAGTTTAAGATTAAAGTTATTGTATACATTGGTAAATATAGACATAAGATATTTAATTTACATGTTTAATTTATTTAAAATGTATCAAATATGTAAAAATCTATAAAAAAATAAGTTTAAGATTAAGGTTATTCTGCTTATGGTAAATAATAACATAAGATATTTAATTCATTGAAATTAAATTTAATTTATCGATATTATTTAAAATACATAAGCCAACTTTAAAATGATTTTTACAATATTTGCTTTATATTCTTTTTGACAGATCATATTACCATGTGGCATTTAAAAATATTACACTCGATCTGTATACACGATACACATGTTTATACATGTTTAGACCGTACACAAGATATTGCGATTTTAAGACAATAGTGGAATAGTATTGAAAAATTATCAATCATATTGACGATCGAGAAAAATACTATTATAAAATTGCTCTTATCTATCGTCACGAGGCGATAAGGCAATCTAGATTACAACCAACAGAAAATACCAATCACTTTCCGATGCAAGAAAAACAGACTACCGTCAAATATAATATAATATAATATCGCGCCGACAGATCGCCTGACGAATTGCGATAATGACGCGCACGACGATTACATTTTGTAAGAACGATGCGTGATTTATGCACGACAGAAGAAAACTGGACATATCGCAGTTATTTTCACAAGCGACTATAAATATTATTACCGTCATTCACGTTGCAAAATCGTTCGCATTGACGTTGATGGTCAAGCGACAAACATTGACGTTCGCGCGACGAAACGTCAAATCACATCGGGCAGCAGCGTAAAATTGCAACGGATTAAAAATGAGGGCGACGAGATAGGATAGGATAATCGATAATTAATGACGAACACGCGTGAGGGGCGTTAACGCGATATTCGGAAAAATATCCGATCGAAAGTATAAAAGTATCGCGATAATGTAAATATAAAATACACCTATCGCATAGCTGTCGATAAGCAGCGCGAAATGCATTTCTACCGTTTTACGCGAGATCTCATCGTCAATAAAGATATATAATCGGATCAGATAAGAAGCATTCCGCGAGAAATGAAAAGCGGGAAATGAATCACGGAATAAAAAGCTGTTCTGAATACACGACAAAGTAAGTGAATCGTTCCCGGAAGCGAATTCTCCGTAGAAACGTAGAAACTTCTCTTTTGTGAACGCCAAACGCTCGATTTTTCTTAATCAACATTTAGACGAGAACCTGCTCAATGAGTCCACTTAGCAATGTAGATTAAGAGATTTTAATTACGAAGTCTGTGCAGGCAAGATAATAAAATTTTGTTTTCCAATTAATTCCAATTCATTTTAGTAGATCTCGAGATTGTGTTTTATCAAAGGAGTGCTACTTTGCGGCTTAATAAACAAGATTGAGGTATTAAATTCTCAAAAGTGACGAGTAACAGCTTGAAATGTTCTGAAAATGCGATGCATTCCACTTACGACGTCGTCGAGAACTTCAACAATTAAACAAGCTGCCGCTTAAATTAAATAAATAATAAACATCTCTTGTGATTTACGAGATAAATTAGTTTAAAGTTCTTATGATAAAATAATTAATATAGACATTCCGATGAATATTTGAGGGTTTTTATCGAGTAAGTGAATGATAAATGCGTTGCATCGAGTGCTCATTCGTCATATTGGCAAGTTGAAATACAATGTCTCGTAATATACATATTTTACTGAAATATACTACACATACGTGGCCGTGAAGTACCCCGGCCTTTCGTCACGGAAACTTTGACATCACGAGGACAAGTCGATACTACGAATACGGAAATCGGATGTCCGATTGTCATACCGGCTCATGTTCATAACAAATAGAGAAATCAAACCGCCATTTGATTCTATAGTACTGATAAATAATATGATCGATAAGACGCGCGGGAATCCGTTTCTCTCCGCTCAAGGATTCTTGCCGCACGCGTGATTCTGATTTCGCGGCAAATCGGCATTGCGCAGCTAATTAGAGCTGATCTGAATTTTTATTTCCGACCACCATCTGCCCGCGGCGGGCAGAAATTTAAATAATTTATCTTCGTGTGATTCCCGCCAAGCGGAGAGGACGATTCAGTCATGGGAGAGGAATTCTAATGCGACTTATTTAAATGCAACGAGGAAGTGGCTTTATTTTTCTCGTTGGCTGCCATTTTTCGGGCAAGGGAACACAGGGTCGTTAGGGAATCAAACATCGGAAATCAGATTGCTCTCAATTCGAGCACTAGTGAATCATTACCGAACATTAAAAAAAAAAAGGATTCCCTCGCCGCCAGTCTCATTACAAATTCGATTGATTCGCGCCGCAATTAAGATAGAGGACGTTCGTTCGACTCGAGGGACACTCACTTCGGGGTCTTGCACGCCCGACCGCCGTATGCATCGTACGTAATGAGGTGAAGTAGTTTAAACCGATTGCGATCTTTGTCGGTTAAGATTGAATTCAGTCGAGCGCCGGATGTGAATCGTTTAATATTCCTGTCGTTCGAGTACGCGAAGGACTCGCCGATGGACATGAATCGCGGCACGTAGCTCGATGTTCCTCTATTTTCTTCTCGAGTTTGTTTTTCGATGCTGATATTTCCAGATTCCAGTTAAGTTCTTGACAGGTTGGAATTGAAATGAACCGAATAATTAGTTGTTCTTTTCTCTTTGTCGCCATAAGAGGCTGCTAATTTAATAGCAAATTAAACGCGCGTTTATTTCTTGCTGCTAAATCGTACCGTAAATTCTTATTTCTTTTCTTTAAATATAATTACTTTAAATAAGAGAAATGACGATAAAGAGTTTAAATTCAAGTAACAAAAATCGCCTATGAATCACATCAATGAAATTTGTTCTTATTATCATTTCTATCAATAATTATTCTCTAATATTCTCTAATATTTTCTCTCTTTGTTTATTGTTTATTATCGTGTTTCTAATTAATTCAACGGATGGAAATTGCATCATTGGTGACGGAAATATAAACAAAGACTCTTGTTTTATTACGATAATATTTGAATTTGACTATACATTCAGCTGGGACAATATTTTTATTACCGTTTCCGTTATGTTCATCCGTATTGTTCATCGAAGTAATGCTTAAGCTTCATGCTGTCAAATGTGTGTCATTTGAACAAAATTAAGATTAAATATGCCGCTCTTAATAAAATATTTTAATAATATATTTCGTTACGAAAAAAAGAAGTAAAAGATTGAAAATATTTTGATATTTTATGATATATGGCACACAAAAAGAAAAACGGAACATAGGGTAACTTTGATTCCCGTGGATATCGATGATCGCGGGATCACGCATGTGCAAAATGCAATCGTAACGTGCTGCACACGTGGGGTATGAAAGCCGGTGAACGCGTATCATACCTCTTCATTTTCTTCAATTAATGTCACTCATATCAAAAGAATAAGTGAGCGTATCCATTAGAAAGCAAATCGTGTGATTTATCGCTCCATTATCCAATCCGGGTCGATTTAAACCCTCTCTGTACGATACATTGAGAAATATATAATCTAATTCTTCTTTCAAAGGAAGATTAAACAAACAAAAAATAATCTGTATAAAGAAAAATTAAATTAAATCTAACGCTATGCTATGTGTATTTCGAAGGTCCTCGGCAATTTTCTTTTACCATTTATCCTCCAGTTTTGGAAAAATATAGAATGTCCGGGATAGGATTACGAAAGAGAAGTTGACATGAACAACGCACAACCCCCAAGCGTCGGATCAATCGGGTTGTGCGTAACGCGAGGGTGATTATACGTTCGCTTAATATAATCGTAAATTCACCACTTCGATATTTTGTTGACAAGCAAAAATTTTTTCATTTTTTTAATTCATGTAGCACTGTAACTAATCATTTAAAAAAACAATGCGTTACTTGCAATCTAGCTCTTTATAAAATTTAAATTCTCTGATAAGCCATTACTCACACATAATGAAGAAACAGAGCAGAGTGATTTCATTGTGACGAGTGGAAGATAACGATAAAATTATAATACATGACATTTTTATATAAAAACACAATTGCAAAGTGAGTACAATAATTTGTCGAATTAAATCATCAGATATTAAAAGCAATATGAAAAATCTTTCTAATTTAAATATTTTTTTTAATTAAGATTGAATTATGTTTTGAAAAAATATACAGAAAAAAATTATCCAGGATTCTTTTAATAAAGTATTAATTCGATTTTTCCTCCTGCGGGATTTAATTCTTTATCAACGGATAAACTTACCCGCCGCAGCAGCCAGGAATTGAAGGCGCTTGGAACCTTTCTCCGTCATCTCTTCGGGACGATTGTTGACAGTGCGTAACGACGTCCTATCGTACGACTCCTTACCGCGTATGTTCAATTCCACGGATTCTCTTCCGGGGGTGCTGGTACCATACACTGCCGAAGAGGAACTCACTGGTACAGGACTGTAAGCATAGTCTTTATAAGAGCGCCCCTCTATCCTCTCATCACCGCGAGTGGGGGTCATTTTTCCGATCTCTCTTTCTCGTTTGGCTTCCTCTGACCGGTTCCACGTTTCTCTCCCACTCTTTTCTTTTGTCGCTCCTCGCAAAGCACGATCTCGATCGCGGATCGCGGTCGCGGTTGCTACGGCGATAGAGGATGCAATGACCGACGTCCCGAGTCCTAGACCCTGAAACGAAGCGCTGTGGTCAAGGTCGCGCGATGTCACGTAGAGAACGCTCGGAAGATCGTTCCCCTCCCCTCCGCTCCTTCCCCATCGAAAGGGATGTTCCGTGTCGGAAGGTCTTTAAATAAAAGAACAAAAAGAGAGACTTTATTTCATCATTGAAATCTCGTAAGATACTTAATTGAATTCAATTCGCGATTTTAAAACAGAATGTTCTGTTTCTGAAGGAAAAGAAAGGGATAATTTTTACTTAAAAATAATAAGTATAAATAATTTAAATACTTAATCTTAAATTAATCTTTTTTTTAAATACACATCCGTTTGTGATATTTTGTTTTAATAAAAAATGTTTTGATAAAAGAATTAATTTTTATAACAAACAAGGTAATAGACGATGTTACGAATAGTGGTAAGATTAAATTAATAGTTGCATTTTTCTTTTCTGGAAGGAAAAAAAGGGAAATTCCAATATTAAACTTGCTTGCGTAATTAAATCTAATTTGATTAAATACAAATCAAAGGATTTGTAAAAGAAGCTACAAACACTACACGATAAATGCGCCTACTTACATTCCTCAGTTTGAATTAGCATCAAAATTAAATGAGGGGATTTATCTGGAAAACTAATTTGTCTGGAGATATCATCTTAAAATGCTTTTCATATCAAATCTTTAATTTTCGAAATAATGAGAATCGTTTAAAAAATTTATGTCTGTTCCAGCACGAATAAGCGGTACTAATGAAATTTACCCTTTGCAGAATATCACCCCAATTCGCGAAGATGAGTCCCTCTATCGTCGGTGCTCTCCCTAATACGAGTCGAGGGAAAATCGATAATGCGCTCTACCAAACGCGTTGTAATAACGCTGATGTAAGTGAGTGACGCAATTCATTAACCCACGAAGCGAAATCAATCGTGACGATGGCAAGCGGAACTTTTCGATCCGCATTTCACCTCGCTTTATCGATTAATCGCGGTATCGGAGTATCGGACATCAATCTCGTCCCGTTGATTCTGCCGTGAACACGCACGTGCTGCGAATCGACCGGCATTTTGTTGGAAG